ATCTCGGCCCAGGGAACGTACCTTGCCCACTCCTCCGGCCGGTCCTGGCAGTATGTTCTAAGAAACCTACCCACATCCTGGTTCACGCGTTCCACCTGCCCATTACTCTCCGGGTGGTAACCCGAGGTGAGGCTCACCGAGACCCCCAACCGCTCCATAAAGGCTCTCCAAACCCTGGAGGTAAATTGGGGACCTCGATCAGACACAATATCCTCGGGTACCCCGTAGTGCCGGAACACATGGGTGAATAGTGCTTTGGCAGTTTGCAGGGCAGTAGGAAGGCCCGGCATGGGGAGCAGACGACAGGCCTTAGAAAACCGGTCCACAACGACCAGTATAGTGGTATTTCCCTGTGAAGGAGGAAGGTCAGTAAGGAAATCCACCGAGAGGTGAGACCATGGTCGTTGTGGAACGGGCAGGGGGTAGTAACTTACCCCTAGGCAGATGTCTAGGCGCCTTACACTGGGCGCACACCGAGCAGGAGGAAACATAAACCCTCACATCCCTTGCCAACGTGGGCCACCAGTACTTGGCACTAAGACAGTGCACTGTCCGGCCGATACCAGGGTGTCCAGAGGAGGGTGACGTGTGAGCCCAATAGATCAATCGATCCCGAACCTCGAACGGAACGTACTTCCGACCCTCCGGGCATTGCGGTGGACTAGGATCGGTGCGTAACGCCCGCTCGAGCTCAGCATCGACCTCCCACACTACCGGTGCCACCAGACACGACTCCGGCAGTATGGGAGTGGGCTCCACGGACCTCTCCTCCGTGTCATACCGCCGAGACAGCGCATCTGCCTTACCGTTCTGTGACCCAGGGATGTACGTGATCTTAAATGTAAACCGGGTCAAAAACATATTCCATCTTGCCTGGCGAGGGTTCAGCCTCCTCGCTGCCCGGATGTACTCCAGGTTACGGTGGTCCGTCAAAATGAGGAAAGGGTGTTGAGCCCCCTCAAGCCAGTGCCTCCACACCTTTAGGGCCTGTACCACGGCTAACAGCTCCCTGTCCCCTACGTCATAGTTTCGCTCCGCCGGACTGAGCTTCTTAGAATAAAAAGCACAGGGGCGGAGTTTAGGTGGCGCGCCTGAACGTTGTGAAAGCACGGCTCCTATACCGGCCTCAGACGCGTCCACTTCTACCTGAAATGGCAAAGAGGGATCCGGATGCGCCAGCACCGGGGCCGAGGTAAACAGGTCCTTCAGCCTCCCAAACGCCCTGTCCGTCTCGGCAGACCACTGCAGACGCACCGGACCCCCTTTCAAAAGAGACGTGATGGGAGCTGCCACCTGTCCAAAACCCCGGATAAACCTCCGGTAGTAATTCGCAAACCCCAAAAACTGCTGCACCTCCTTCACAGTGGTTGGTGTTTGCCAATTACGCACGGCTGACACCCGGTCTACCTCCATCTTCACCCCTGACGCAGACAACTGATACCCCAAAAAGGAGACCGACTCCTGGAAAAACAGACACTTCTCTGCCTTAACATACAGGTCGTGCTCCACCAGCCTCCGCAACACTCTGCGCACCAGGGCCACATGCTCGACTCGGGTAGGCGAGTACACGAGAATGTCATCTATGTACACAACCACCCCCTGCCCCTGCATGTCCCTGAAGATCTCATCCACGAATGATTGGAAAACTGACGGAGCGTTCATCAACCCGTATGGCATGACAAGATACTCGTAATGGCCCGAGGTGGTACTAAAGGCTGTCTTCCATTCATCGCCCTCCCTGATGCGCACCAAGTTGTACGCGCTCCTGAGATCTAATTTAGTGAAGAAACGCGCCCCATGCAATGACTCCGTCATGGTCGCAATCAGCGGGAGTGGATAACTGTACTTCACCGTGATCTGATTGAGACCACGGTAATCGATGCACGGGCGTAACCCACCATCCTTTTTCTTCACAAAAAAGAAACTCGAGGACGCAGGGGAAGTGGAAGGCCATATGTATCCTTGTCTCAGAGATTCGTCTATGTAAGTCTCCATAGCTTTCTTCTCCTCCTGAGACAGAGGATACACATGGCTCCGTGGGAGCGCAGCTCCTGCCTGGAGGTCTATCGCACAATCTCCCTGCCTATGGGGCGGCAACTGCGTCGCCCTCGACTTACTAAACGCAATAGCCAAATCCCCATACTCAGGGGGAACGTGCAATGCGGGCACCTGGTTTGGACTCTCCACCGAGGTAGCCCCTACGGAAACGCCCAAACATCGACCCACACACTGGGCAGACCACTCCATCAGAGCCCTCTCCTGCCATGAAATAGATGGGTTATGGGTACTCAACCAGGGCATGCCCAGCACCACCGGATACGCAGGCGAGTCGATCAGAAATCATCTCCTGATGACCCCCCTGCGCACACATCCTAAGTGGCGCAGTGACCTCCCTGATCAAGCCCGCACCCAACGGACGGCTATCTAGGGCATGAACGGGGAAAGGGACATCAACAGGGAGACGGGGGATCCCTAAGGCTAAACAAAACTTCTTATCAACAAAATTCCCAGCCGCGCCTGAATCTACCAGCGCCTTATGCTGGGAATGAGGTGCTACCTGTGGGAAACGCACAGGTATACAGAAATGTGCAACAGAGAGCTCTGGGTGAGTGGGGCGCCTACTCACCTGGAAGGACTCCCCAGTGCGGGACCTGTCGTCCTCTCCCCTAGGAGGCCATCCCCAGCACCTAGCCGCGGTGTGTCCTCCCCGACCACAGTTGGTGCAGGAGATGGACCCCCTCGTAAGCCGACCCCCTCCTCTCTCTAGCGCCAGCGCCCCCCCGAGCTCCATGGGGCACGGCTCGGAGGCGCTGGAGGGTGAAATGGACGGACCCCCCTCGGAACGTCCGCGGGTAGCTAGCAGGTTATCCAGCCTGATGGACATGTCGACCAACTGGTCGAACGAGAGGCTGGTGTCCCTACAGGCCAGCTCCCTACGGACGTCCTCGCGTAGACTACATCTGTAGTGATCGCTGAGAGCCCGCTCATTCCACCCTGCATCCGCCGCTAGAGTACGGAATTCTAAGGCGAACTCCTGGGCACTCCTCTTCCCCTGCCGGAGGAAGACCAGACGCTCCCCCGCCGCTTTCCCCTCCGGGGGATGGTCGAACACCGCCCTGAAGCGGCGGGAGAACTCGTCGTAGGGGATGGTGTCCGCGTCGATCCTCCTCCACTCTGCGTTGGCCCATTCCAACGCCTTCCCGGAAAGGCAGGAGATCAGGGCGGACACGCTCTCATGTCCCGAAGGCGCCGGGTGCACGGTGGCCAGGTAAAGCTCCACCTGGAGAAGGAATCCCTGACACCCGGCCGCGGTCCCATCGTAGGCCCTCGGGAGCGAGAGTCGAACTCCTCTGGCTTCCGGAGCGGGAATGGGCTGACTTGCCGATGGTGCTGGCAGAGAGGATGGCGGTGGAGGAGTCCCCCAGCCTCGGATGGTGGTGATCACCTCCTGCAGTGCGGACCCCATCTGCAGGATCTGGTCACTCTGTTCTCGGACCCTGTCCTCCAGCGTCGCCTGGGCTGCTGCGGCTCCTGCTGATTCCATTCTTGAAGGTGTGTGATTTTGTCAGTGATGCCGTAGGTGGGTGTAGTGGTGGAATCAAGCGCAGGACACCGAAGTACAGTCCAAAAGACTTTAGTGAAATTCCACAAGGGAAAATGAACAAACTGGCCCGAATGCGAAACTCCGCACGTAGGCGGACAAAACAAACGGGCGCACTACACAGGTGCGTAAAACGCTCCAACACAGTGGAGAGATAGCTCAAACGAGCGAATAATGTAAACACGTCCAGTAACGCACGACAGACAATAAAGCAATCACACACAACACTGGACAAACACAACAAGTAACTTATAGGACGCTAATTAACCTAAACGATAACAGGTGTCACAACAAACAGACAAAAGCAAACGAACATAGAAACATGCAACGATGGCAGCTAGAATTCCGGAGACAACGAACGCCGAAGCCTGCCCGAACAAGGAAGAGAGGCAGCCTCGGCCGAAACCGTGACATAACTATACTGAACAAAAATATAAACGCAACATGCAATCATTTCAATGATTTTACTGAGTTACAATTCATATAAGGAAATCAGTCAATTGAAATAAATTCATTAGGCCCGAATCTATGGATTTCCTGTGCCAGTGGGGAGCCAGGCCCCACAAAAGTGCTTTATTACAGAGAGAAATACTCCTCAGTTTCATCATCTGTCCGGGTGACTGGTCTCAGACGAAGCTGTATGTGGAGGTCCTGTGCTGGCGTGGTTACACGTGATCTGTGGTTGTGAGGCCGGTTGGACGTACTACCAAATTCTCTAAAATGATGTTGGAGGCGGCTTTTGTTAGAGAAATTAACATTCAATTCTCTGGCAACAGCTCTGGGGGAAATTCCTGCAGTCAGCATGCCAATTGCACGCTCCCTCAAAACTTGAGACATCTGTGGCATTGTGTTGTGTGACAAAACTGCACATTTTAGAGTGGCCTTTTATTGTCCCCAGCACCTGTGTAATGATCATGCTGTTTAATCAGCTTCTTGATATGCCACACCTGTCAGGTGGATAGATTATATTGGCAAATGATAAATGCTAACTAACAGGGATGTAAACAAATTTGTGCAGAACATTTTAGAGAAATAAGCTTTTTGTGTGTATGGAAAATTTCTGGGATCTTTTATTTCATCTCATGAAACATGGGACCAACACTTTACATGTTGCGGTTATATTTTAAGTAAGATACTCACGTGAGAGAGTGATGTGAAGCCATCCTGTCTTTCCTTCCTCTAATAACTCGTCAGAACCGTCTTTGTTCGGCAACGGGCTTAGTTTTGCGACGAGACCTTTCCTGACTAAGGCCTGGTCAGCTGAGTTGATGTGATCAGGAAAACCTCCAGGCTCTCTTTGACTGACGATGATGATGATAGTAGTGATAAAGATGATGATAAAGATTATGATGACTGTGTGTGTAACTGTACTGTATATATTGTCTGTTTCCATCCAAGGTTTCTGGATGGGAAGCTGCTGGACATCAACAAGGAGTTCCAACCGTACCTGGGCCGAGGCGGGAGGATCCTAGAGATCCGCACACCGGACGTGGTGACCAGTGTGAAGAAGGCTGTGCAGACCGTGGGCTACACAGAGGGGGCGCTGCTCGCCCTAGCCATCATCATCATCCTCTGCTGCATCCCCGCCATCCTCATCGTCATCATCACCTACAGGCAGTGAGTAGAAAGAACAGTTCAAAGTTCAATTGCTTTATTGGAAGTACATTTTGTGTCAAATGGGAATTGGTCTTGAGGAATGTGAGTATGACTAGGGCACAGGGCAGGACATATGGAATAGGGCATAGGCCACAAGGCACAAGTACTGGTGCAGATATAGACAGTAGTGTAGACACAGGGGTTTATACAGCAAGCTACCTGCTCTCCAGCCCCCAGAGGCTATCCCTAATATCATTTTAGGAGGAAGCTAGCTTTCGCTCCGCAATTTACCATGGAAACGCCTTTGAGAGCCGGCATAATCGTTTATTTATACAGCATAAAAGCACATTAATTAATGCAAGAGCAGACAAACACTGCAGACTGATTGTTGCAGTTTGGGGAGGTTTTTCTCTCCCCGCTCTAAGCCTGCGAACTGAGCTGGGAAGGCTAGACTGACGGCTGTCACAGGTTCAGGGATGGATGTTAAACAGATGAGAAGAGAATCCTCAGTGTCATCTTCTTCAGTGTCTCAGGTTCAGGAAATTGGCTTAACCTATAGTGAATTCTTTCACTCTCTTTGTTTTTGTATTAAGACAATGATTATAAGAACCATTTTGTCTGTAATTTGCCCCTCGCTATTACTAACACCCTTCTATTTCTTTCTCTCTCTCTCATTTTCTATCAACAGATTCAAAGAGTGAGTATTATTACTGTTATTACTTATTTCCATTGCCTTCTATTTGGATACATTCATTCACATTCCACTGTTTTCAAAGTAAATGTTTGGGATCAGGGAAGTCAATGAAATCTTAAACAAATAAATTGTGCATAACCTGTTTTTATACACTCCCTTATATTGCAGTCGGAGGCAATAAATAAGAAATGTGCCGGCAAAATTGGTTTATTTGAGTATATTATGGAGACAATGTGTACCAAGTTATGTGCATGTATAATGTAGCAGTGTCCTGTTTGAATATGCTGATGCTGTAACTTAACGTAACTTGGTTGACTTTCTCTCCATGGTACTACTAAAGGAGACAGGCGGAGTGTGCTAAAACTGCTCGGATCCAAATGGCCCTCCCTACAGGCAAATCAGTGGGCGCCGCCACCAACAACCTTTACGAAGAGCTTGGGGACAGTGCCATGTAAGCGTTATAATATATCCCATCATATTTCCATCATGTGTGTTCTCAGGGCCGGCCCGCCTATCAGGCAGGATTAGGTGGCCGCCTATTGCGGCAGATTGACGAGGGAGGCATTTTCCAAAATAAACTGACCAAGACGCACCTCCAACAACATACACTGAACAAAAATATAAAAGCAACTGAGTTACAGTTCATATAAGCAAATCAGTCAATAGAAATAAATTCAATAGTCCCTAATCTATGGATTTCACATGACTGGGAATACAGATATGCATCTGTTGGTCACAGATACCTTAAAGAAAAGGTAGGCGTGGATCAGAAAACCAGTCAGTATCTGGTGTGACCACCATTTGCCTCATGAAGTGCGACACATATCCTTTGCATAGAGTTGATCAAGCTATGGATTGTGGCCTGCGGAATGTTGTCCCGCTCCTCTTCAATGGCTGTGCGAAGTTGCTGGATATTGGCGGGAACTGGAACACGCTGTCATACACGTCGATCCAGAGCATCCCAAACATTCTCAATGGGTGACATGTCTGATGAGTATACAGGCCATGTAAGAACTGTGATGTTTTAAGCTTCCAGGAATTGTGTACAGATGCTTGCGACATGGGGCCATGCATTATCATGCTGAAATATGATGATGGCGGCGGATGAATGGCACGACAATGGGCCTCAGGATCTTGTCACGGTATCACTGTGCATTCAAATTGCCATCAATAAAATGCAATTGTGTTCGTTGTCCGTAGCTTATGCCTCCCCATACCATAACCCCACCGCCACCATGGGGCACTCTGTTCACAACGTTGACATCAGCAAACCGCTCGCCCACATGACCCCATACACGCTCTCTGCCATCTGCCCGGTCCAGTTAAAACTGGGATCCGTGAAGAGCACACTTCTCCAGCGTGCCAGTTGCCATCGAAGGTGAGCATTTGCCCACTGAAGTCGGTTACGACGCCGAACTGCAGTCAGGTCAAGACCCTGGTGAGGATGACGAGCACGCAAATGAGCTTCCCTGAGACGGTTTCTGACAGTTTGTGCAGAAATTCTTCAGTTGTGCAAACCGTTTCATTAGCTGTCCGGGTGGCTGGTCTCAGACCATCCCGCAGGTGAAGAAGCTGGATGTCTGCGGTTGTGAGGCCAGTTGGACGTGTTGCCAAATTCTCTAAAACGACGTTGGAGGCGGCTTATGGTAGAGAAATGAACATTCAATACTCTGGCAACAGATCTGGTGGACATTCCTGCAGTTAGCATGCCAATTGCATGCTCCCTCAAAACTTGTGACAAAACTGCACACTTTTTTGTCCCCAGCACAAGGTGCACCTGTGTAATGATCATGCTGTTTAATCAGCTTCTTGATAATCCACCAACACTTTACATGTTGCGTTTATATTTTTGTTCAGTATATAAAACCTCACATAAGTCTTCCCAAAAACAATGACAATTTCTCTCAACCGGTGGCATATGTTTATTTTTATTTTTATATATATATATATATATATATATATATATATATATATACAGTACCAGTCAAAAGTATGGACCCACCTACCCATTCAAGGGTTTTTCTTAATTTTTACTATTTTTCTACATTGTAGAATAATAGTGAAGACATCAAAACTTAAATAACACATATGGAATCATATAGTAACCAAAAAATAGATTATTCAAAGTAGCCATCCTTTGCCTTGATGACAGCTTTGCACACTCTTGGCATTCTCTCAACCAGCTTCATGAGGTAGTCACCTGGAATGCATTTAAATTAACAGGTGTGCTTTGTTAAAAGTTAATTTGTGGAATATCTTTCCTTCTTAATGCGTTTGAGCCAATCAGTTGTGTTGTGACAAGGTAGGGGGGTATACAGAAGATAGCCCTATTTGGTAAAAGACCAACTCCATATTACGACAAGAACAGCTCAAATAAGCAAAGCGAAACGACAGTCCATCATTACTTTAAGACATGAAGGTTAGTCAATACGGAACATTTCAAGAACTTTTAAAGTTTCTTCAAGTGCAGTCGCAAAAACCATCAAGCGCTATGATGAAACTGGCTTTCATGAGGACCGCCACAGGAAAGGAAGATCCAGAGTTACCTCTGCTGCAGAGGATAAATTCATTAGAGTTACCAGCCTCAGAAATTGCAGCCCAAATAAATGCTTCACAGAGTTCAAGTAACAGACACATCTCAACATCAACTGTTCAGAGGGGACTGTGTGAATCAGGCCTTCATGGTTGAATTGCAAAGCTGCAAAGAAACCACTACTAAAGGACACCAATAAGAAGAAGAGACCTGCTTGTGCCAAGAAACACGAGCAATGGACATTAGACCGGTGGAAATCTGTCCAAATTGGAGATTTTTGGTTCCAACTGCCATGTCTTTGTGAGACGTAAAGCATGGAGGAGGAGGTGTTATGGTGTGGGGGTGCTTTGCTGGTGACACGGTCTGTGATCGATTTAGAGTTCAAGGCACACTTAACCAGCACGGCTACTCCAGCATTCTTTAGCGATACACCATCCCATTTGGTTTTGGCTTAGTGGGACTATCATTTGTTTTTCGAAAGGACAATGACCCAACACACCTCCAGGCTGTGTAAGGGCTATTTTACCATGAATGAGAGTGATGGAGTGCTGCATCAGATGACCTGGCCTCCACAGTCCCCCGACCTCAACCCAATTGAGATGGTTTGGGATGAGTCAGACCGCAGAGTGAAGGAAAAGCAGCCAACAAGTGCTCAGCATATGTGAGAACTCCTTCAAGACTGTTGGAAAAGCATTCCAGGTGAAGCTGGTTGAGAGAATGCCAAGAGTGTGCAAAGCTGTCATCAAGGCAAAGCGTGGCTACTTTGAAGAATCTAAAATATAACATATTTTGATCTGTTTAACACTTTCCTGGTTACTACATGATTCCATATGTGTTATTTCATAGTTTTGATGTCTTCACTATTATTCTACACTGTAGAAAATAGTAAAAATAAAGAAAAAACCTTGAATGAGTAGGTGTGTCCAAACTTTTGACTGGTAGTGTATATACAGTGGGGAGAACAAGTATTTGATACACTGCCAATTTTGCAGGTTTTCCTACTTACAAAGCATGTAGAGGTCTGTAATTTTTATCATAGGTACACTTCAACTGTGAGAGACGGAATCTAAAACAAAAATACAGAAAATCACATTGTATGATTTTTAAGTAATTCATTTGCATTTTTTGCATGACATAAGTATTTGATACATCAGAAAAGCAGAACTTAATATTTGGTACAGAAACCTTTGTTTGCAATTACAGAGATCATACATTTCCTGTAGGTCTTGACCAGGTTTGCACACACTGCAGCAGGGATTTTGGCCCACTCCTCCATACAGACCTTCTCCAGATCCTTCAGGTTTCGGGGCTGTCGCTGGGCAATACAGACTTTCAGCTCCCTCCAAAGATGTTCTATTGGGTTCAGGTCTGGAGACTGGAAAGGCCACTCCAGGATCTTGAGATGCTTCTTACGGAGCCACTCCTTAGTTGCCCTGGCTGTGTGTTTCGGGTCGTTGTCATGCTGGAAGACCCAGCCACGACCCATCTTCAATGCTCTTACTGAGGGAAGGAGGTTGTTGGCCAAGATCTCGCGATACATGGCCCCATCCATCCTCCCCTCAACACGGTGCAGTCGTCCTGTCCCATTTGCAGAAAAGCATCCCCAAAGAATGATGTTTCCACCTCCATGCTTCACGGTTGGGATGGTGTTCTTGGGGTTGTACACATCCTTCTTCTTCCTCCAAACACGGCGAGTGGAGTTTAGACCAAAAAGCTATATCTTTGTCTCATCAGACCACATGACCTTATCCCATTCCTCCTCTGGATCATCCAGATGGTCATTGGCAAACTTCAGACGGGCCTGGACATTCGCTGGCTTGAGCAGGGGGACCTTGCGTGCGCTGCAGGATTTTAATCCATGACGGCGTAGTGTGTTACTAATGGTTTCTTTGAGACTGTGGTCCCAGCTCTCTTCAGGTCATTGACCAGGTCCTGCCGTGTAGTTCTGGGCTGATCCCTCACCTTCCTCATGATCATTGATGCCCCACGAGGTGAGATCTTGCATGGAGCCCCAGACCGAGGGTGATTGACCGTCATCTTGAACTTCTTCCATTTTCTAATAATTGTGCCAACAGTTGTTGCCTTCTCACCAAGCTGCTTGCCTATTGTCTTGTAGCCCATCCCAGCCTTGTGCAGGTCTACAATTTTATCCCTGATGTCCTTACACAGCTCTCTGGTCTTGGCCATTGTGGAGAGGTTGGAGTCTGTTTGATTGAGTGTGTGGACAGGTGTCTTTTATACAGGTAACGAGTTCAAACAGGTGCAGTTAATACAGGTAATGAGTGGAGAACAGGAGGGCTTCTTAAAGAAAAACAGGTCTGTGAGAGCCGGAATTCTTACTGGTTGGTAGGTGATCAAATACTTATGTCATGCAATAAAATGCAAATTAATTACTTAAAAATCATACAATGTGATTTTCTGGATTTTTGTTTTAGATTTCGTCTCTCACAGTTGAAGTGTACCTATGATAAAAATTACAGACCTCTACATGCTTTGTAAGTAGGAAAACCTGCAAAATCGGCAGTGTATCAAATACTTGTTCTCCCCACTGTATAGGTTGTATTTTACCCCCTTTTTCTCACCAATTTCATGATATCCAATTGCGATCCAATTACGATCTTGTCTCATCGCTGCAACTCCCCAACGGGCTCGGGAGAGGCAAAGGTCGAGTCATGCGTCCTCCGAAACATGACCCGCCAAACCGCGCATCTTAACACCCGCCCGCTTAACCCGGAAGCCAGCCGCACCAATGTGTGGCATATGGGCTTTTAAATGAGCGCTGTGATAAGCTGTGCCTACTTTGTCAAAGGTAGAGGCACAAAATATTTTGCTTGTCCATTCCCAGCGCCGCTCCAAGGTGCTGTTGGTGAGATGCATCACTGCTGTGGTCCATCAACATTCCGTCAAAAAATCATCTAACATAAATCATGTAGCAGATATACAGTTGAAGTCGGAAGTTTACATACACCTTAGCCAAATACATTTAAACTCAGTTTTTCACAATTCCTGACATTTAATCCTTGTAAAAATGCCCTGTCTTAGGTCAGTTAGGATCACCACTTTATTTTAAGAATGTGAAATGTCAGAATAATAATAGAGAGAATTAATTATTTTAGCTTTTATTTCTTTCATCACATTCCCAGTGGGTCAGAAGTTTACATACACTAAATTAGTATTTGGTAGCATTGCCTTTAAATTCTTTAACTTGGGTCAAATGTTTTGGGTAGCCTTCCACAAGCTTCCCACACTAAGTTGGGTGAATTTTGGCCCATTCCTCCTGACAGAGCTGGTGTAACTGAGTCAGGTTTGTAGGCCTCCTTGCTCGCACATGCTTTTTCAGTTCTGCCCACACATTTTCAATAGGATTGAGGTCAGGGCTTTGTGATGGCCACTCCAATAACTTGACTTTGTTGTCCTTAAGCCATTTTGCCACATCTTTGGAAGTATGCTTGGGGTCATTGTCCATTTGGAAGAGCCATTTGCAAATGGCTGATGTCTTGAGATGTTGCTTCAATATATCCACATAATTTTCCTTCCTCATGATGCCATCTATTTTGTGAAGTGCACCAGTCCCTCCTGCAGCAAAGCACCCCCACAGCATGATGCTGCCACCCCCGTGCTTCACGGTTGGGATGGTGTTCTTCGGCTTGCAAGCGTTCCCCTTTTTCCTCCAAACATAAAGATGGTCATTATGGCCAAACAGTTCTATTTTTGTTTCATCAGACCAGAGGACATTTCTCCAAAAAGTACGATCTTTGTCCCCATGTGCAGTTGCAAACCGTAGTCTGGCTTTTTTATGGCGGTTTTGGAGCAGTGGCTTCTTCCTTGCTGAGCGGCCTTTCAGGTTATGTCAATATAGGAGTCGTTTTACTGTGGATATCGATACCTTTGTACCTGTTTCCTCCAGCATCTTCACAAAGTCCTTTGCTGTTGTTCTGGGATTGATTTGCACTTTTCGCACCAAAGTACGTTCATCTCTAGGAGACAGAACGCGTCTCCTTCCAGAGCGGTATGATGGCTGCGTGGTCCCATGGTGTTTATACTTGCGTACTATTGTTTGTACAGATGAACGTGGTACCTTCAGGCGTTTGGAAATTGCTCCCAAGGATGAACCAGACTTGTGGAGGTCTACAATGTTTTTTTCTGAGGTCTTGGCTGATTTCGTCTGATTTTCCCATGATGTCAAGCAAAGAGGCAGTGAGTTTGAAGGTAGGCCTTGAAATACATCCACAGGTACACCTCCAATTGACTCAAATGATGTCAATTAGCCTATCAGAAGCTTCTAAAGCCATGACATCATTTTCTGGAATTATCCAAGCTGTTTAAAGGCAAAGTCAACTTAGTGTATGTAAACTTCTGACCCACTGGAATTGTGATACAGTGAATTATAAGTGAAATAAACTGTCTGTAAACAATTGTTGGAAAAATTACTTGTGTCATGCACAAAGTAGATGTCCTAACCGACTTGACAAAACTATAGTTTGTTAATAAGACATTTGTGGACTGGTTGAAAAACGACTTTTAATGTCTCCAACCTAAGTGTATGTAAACTTCCGACTTCAACTGTAGCCTATGGTAGAAAGAGTATGTGGCCTTTGCTGTAGCCTGAAGGCTGGAGATAAAATGTGTGCAATGTAACAAGTGCAATGGACAATTCTTACATCATGCACGTTTCTTCTATCAAATAGCCTAACCTAAATGGGTCCCAATCAAATAAAAAATGCGCTGACATGTTAACAAACACCATATACAAAACATTTACAATCAGGCTACTCACAACTGATGTCCAGGAGTTTCACCCTATGGGCTAAATTGGCATGATCAGTGGTTTCAAGTTTGTATCACAATATTTTTGGGGCTACACCCAGGTAAGCACGGACCGACGCCGACATCTTCTGGACCAGCCTTGATTTGGTCCAAAAATAGACGGCTATAAATGACATATTTTCAACTTTATTTCAGAACCGAAAATTAACAGGATTCAACGTCTAGAAAATATGTTTTTTAAACGTCCGGAATATATGTATTTTCACCTTCGTTCAGAACCTAGAATTAACCTAACTTCAACGTCTGGAAAATATGTATTCTGTAATTTTGCTTACTGGGACTACTCTAGATTTGCGAGTATAGGAGGGTGGCATTTTTTTTGCCTCGCCTATGGCGGCAGAACAGCCAGGACCAGGCCTGTAGTGTTCTTGCAAATTCTCTTTTGGATTTAGAATCGGACCAATTTCCCTGGCCGTGATTGGGTTCCCTGGTCAAACAGGCGTTACTGTAGACATTGTTTTAAGTTTATCTGGGAGGTTAAAGACATGCTGCGTTTCAGTGTAATTCTTCACTGGGGCAATGGGGCAAAGCTGTTATCACTGTTCCATGACTTAGCAGTTTCCTGCCTTCCAGATACGCTCACTGCCATTAACATGATATAATTGAAATGAATGTTAATTTAAGATAATTAAAATAAATGCAGCCAATAATTCATATGGGCCGTGGTGAAACATAATTCATTTTATCGATAAGGCTGTTGAGTAAGCCATTGGTCCTGATCACATGGAGCACAGGCTGGATTCTAGGGTTATTTTAGGTTATCAGGGTGCTCTGCTGCTCAAGTTGCCCTCAGTGCTCACTTTGTTGTCTTGGGTTGTAGCTTCCTCCTTATCCAATCATAACCAATGCCATGCCAGAGCAAATAGTTTTTGAAATGGTCAGCCATCCACCAGATAATTAATTCTGCCATTACTGTAGTAAGCCTATAACATTTATTTGATTCACCCTGCTTTTCCTGCTATACTTATCTGTCTATCTTATTCCCTCATTTCCCTTACTTGGCCTCCAGACTAAAGTGAGTACTTGTGTTTTATCGCTAGGTTGTAACTGTGGGGTAAAATCTGTGAGCTGTGAAAGTTGTGCAGTTGCTCATTAGAGTATTAGTTTCCGCTTCGTGTCTGTTGTTGGCTATTATTCATGTAGGAGGCCCTTTATTGTATGTAGATAGTTTCCCAGAGTGAACTATTCCCTCAGTTACTGTCAAAAACATATACTGAACAAAAATATAAACGCAACATGCAACAATTTCAAAGAGTTTGCAGAGTTCATGTAAGGAAATCAGTCAATTGAAATAAATTCATTAGGCCCTTATCTATGGATTTCACATGACTGGGCAGGGGAGCCAGGCCCAGCCAATCAGAATGCGTTTTTCCCTACAAAAGGGCTTTATTATAGACATAAATACTCTTCAGCACATGCCAATTGCATGCTCCCTCAAAACTTGAGACATCTGTGGCATTGTATTTTGTGACAAAACTGCACATTTTAGAGTGGCCTTTTATTGTCCCCAGCACAAGGTGCACCTGTGTAATGATCATGCTGTTTAATCAGCTTCTTGATTTGCCACACCTGTCAGGTGGTTGATTATCTTGACAAAGGATAAAATGACCAGTAACAGGGATATAACCAAATTTGTGCACCACATTTGAGAGAAATAAGCTTTTTGTGCGTATGAAACATTTCTGGGATCTTTTATTTCAGCTCATAACACATGGGACCAACACTTTACATGTTGCGTTAATATTTTTGTTCAGTGTAGAAGGTAGGCCTTCAGTCTGGCAGTTGCAGTCTCATTTGGCTTTGGAACGTTTTAGGAGTGGAGATAGGTAGCTAAGCTTATTTTGTGGCAGTAAGGTGTAAATGGTAGCCTCAGATAAACAACATTTCTCTTTGGAAATTAGCCCTTATTTTGTCTAGCTAGAATCCCATAGACAACTTTCCTCTTGCATCCCCTCATTCTGACTGTCTCATCACACCTTATCTCCCTCTTTTATTTAAAGTATTTTTATTTTCTGCCATCTCCATGAAAGCAGGAGTAAGCGCTGTGTGCTAGAGGAAGGTGACCGCCAGAGGCTCATAAGCACATTTGCCACACGGGCCATCACTGCCCACAAGCAGTCCAGTGCCAATGGGATCCTCCTCAACAATATGCCCAAGTCCGAGAGCAACATCACGTTATTCTCGGACGAGAACCCCCTAACCACCAATAACCCCCTGTTCGACGAAGGCACGGGCACACTCAGCAGCCCAGAGACCCTGGGGAAGCACCAGAGGAGGATGGACCTCCTGGGGAACTACTCCCCTCCTCAGGCCCCTCAAGGCCTGAGAGACTCCTTCCTGAGGTTCAATTCCGGTGGCTCGGGCCACTCCTGGACCCTACCTTCCAGGCTCCACAGGAAGGAGATGTATGATGCTCTGAGGAGACAGGTGGTGATGGACCCGGTGCAGTGGGAGCTGGAGAAGCTGAAGACTGAGCTGAAGGACAGTAAGGACATGTTGGACGGCCTGGACTGGGAAAACCTGGGGCGCAGCACCTACCTGGAGCCTAAGCCCCTGTCGGTGAAGGAGCAGGCCAGGCAGTTTGAGCAGCAGGCCATGAGGGAGATGAAGCAGAGGCAGAGCCGGGACTCCCGGGGGTCTCTCTCTCCAGACTTCCTGATGGGGTTGGGGTTCGACAGCCCGCAGCACCGGGCCAGAGAGGACCGACAGTCTCTGGGCTCCATCCTGGGTAGCGACAGCCCCCAGCACCACCACCACTCTGTGAGCTCCATCCTGGGTAGAGAGGACCGCCACCTGGGCCAAGACAGAGAGGGACCACCCTGCATCATTATCACCCAGAGCGATGGAACTCCACCCCCCAGCCACAAGCCCACTCCACCTGTCCTGCGCAGGTTCAGCTCCAGCTTCTCCAGCTACAACTCAGCCTCCACCGAACCCTACGAGGTCAACCTGGAGGTCATCCCTGACCCCCCTGACATGCCCCCTCCACCCCCACCCAACTACCCTCCTTCCCCCTCCACGCCTCCTCCTCCCAACTCTCATCCGCCCCTCACCCTTAACTATGGCAAAAACCCTGCCCCACCCCCTCCTCCGCCTCTCCCTCCTCCTCTGTCCCCTTCCCTCAATCGTCCATCTACGTTTGTGCTCCCCCCCCTGCCCGCTGTGACCACCCTGAGACCCGTGTCCCTGCGCCCTCCCCCTCCGCCCCTCCCCACCAATCCCGAGCCCCCCAGGAAGGAGCTGAAGGGAATCCTGAAGAACATACAGAACATCGCTGACATCGAGAAATCTGTTGCCAACATGCACAGTCAAATAGACAAAAAACAGATGCTTCCACGGAGCGTCCTGAGGCCACGAGGGTCTGTGGATTCCATGGACTCTTTAAATGGCATACTAGACACTGCAGAGACAGTAGCCCCCACCACAGCAGAGGTACAGGCAGAGGCTCCGGTTGCAGAACAACCACAGCAGGTGCAGGTCCAGCCAAACGTTAACATGAACTCTATAGTAGAAGAGCTGGAGAAACGCTTCCCCTCTCAGTCCACTGCAATGTGACTCTCTCCTTCTTCTCTCTCTTTCTTCATGGACTGTTTCTTCATTTTTTGTTAATTTTGAAATTCATTCTTTATCTTTGTGTGTTCATTCTTTGTTTGTGTGTCATCTATGTATTTTTTCAAGGGAGTTGTTTCAATCAGACATCGATATTTATTTATTTATGTACGTATGGTTAGTGATGTATTTTTATTTAGCCTATAGTTAGCCTATAATTGTTTAATTCTATTGTCACCTAAAGATGAAGAGTCTTATCTAACATGAGGATGATAACATCCTAAAAACATTCAAATAATGTTTTTGATAACCAAATATGTTTATGTTTTAAATGAAATATCCTTAGAATGTTCTCCTAACATTCACTATAATATTGTGCTCAACATCTGTAACAACCACCGCAGAACATTCCCCAAAAGTTCTCATTAGGTTTCCAGGTAATGTAATAACACAATGTACCAGTAATGTTTTCCCAGTGAAACAACTTTCCTAGAACACATTTAATTTATTATTTTAAAGTTCCCAGAATGTTTCATTAGGTTATGGTAACAGTCTGGTGAGAACATTGTGGTGACATCACAAAATATATGTTCCCAAAACACAAAAACTGTCCAGTTGTGTGGATGATTCTACAATGTTTCTATTAGGGTGCAAAAAACATTCACCTGATATTACAAGAACGTTCCCAGAACACATTCCGTCTGTTCTTTAAAGGTTCCCAGAATGTTTCATTAGGTTGTGAGAACAGTCTGGTGGGAACATTGTTGGGACATCACAAAAGATATGTTCCCAAAACACGAAACAGTCCAGTTGTGCTGACATTCAGATAATGTTTGTAATTTATCAGGGTGCACAAAGCATTTGTTTGATGTTGCAAGAATGTTGACAGAACAGCCTTTCTGAGTTCTTTAAAGGTTTCCAGAACATTTTATTAGGTTGTGGGAACAGTGTGGGTACATTACAAGACATAGGTTCCCATAACAGAAAAGATGCTCAGTTGTGATGACATTCATACAATGTTTAAGTTAGGCTGCACAGGACATTCCTTTAATGTTGTAAGAATGTTGACAGAAAACCTGGTCTAAGTTCTTTAAAGGATCCCAGCACATTTAATTAAGTTATGGGATTTGTATGGAATGTTGCAAGAATATTATTGTTATATTCACATAGGTTGCACAGAACATTCCCAAACTGTTGCACAATGTTCCACAATTTTCAAATACGTCCATTTTTATCACATTCATAGACTATTTGTTTTAGGTTTAACATAATATTCCATTGATATTCATGCAATAAACATTTTACCTTGTCTTGGAGGTCCACAGAACATTTCAAAAATTGTATATTTAAGTTTTACCTAATATTACCACAACATTCTCAGCATGCACATTTGTAGCTCCTTAAATCAGATTGGAATACATTCCCATTATGTTTCTCTCCAGATTTAATGGCAGGTCACATTTGAGGACTGTATTTTATGTGATATAGAGACATTTATAGGACATTTTAACAGTGTTTAATCATAAAAACACAACCATATTTGTTACACTTTATATGTTGACAATCTGCACGTGGGGTTTGAACCTGAAATGTTTGGTTCCCAAGCCAGGTCTTTTATCCTCTGCACCACCAGAGAAGCTCTCTGGTCAATCAGGAATGACATGCGCTTCCTTTTTAGAATTCTTAGACATAACTAACCCAGAGAAATACTGGTAACTAGGTTATTCACCATTACTTCACCCATCCTCTTTATATGCTGCATACTTCTGGGCCCATATTTACAAGGTATCCAAGACTGAGTGTGGATCTAGGATCACTTTTGTTTTTCAGATCATGAAAAATAATACATGGGGGAACATATCATGCATCTCAAAGTAGGAATTAGATCAGGTGCGTTTAAAAAAAAGTTAAACAGTCCATTTTTACACAATGTTTTATTTTTTTACAGTTAGGCTAAATTCTGCATTTCTTACTAGATTTATAAATCTGGATGAAATAAAGACATCCTCTCTTTTAGTAGATTATATTTTAATTTCACATTTTTTTCCTCCATAAAAAAAAAAAGAAACATGGTTTAAGAATGTGTGGGATTGAATTTGCAATCTTCAACTCTGCAGCCAGATCATTACGTTTTTGTGTTTTGGGAACATATCTTTTGTGATGTCCCAACAATCTTCCCACCAGACTGTACCCACAACCTCATGAAACATTTGGGGAACCTTTAAAGAACAGATTAAATGTTTTCTAGGAACGTTCTTGCAACATCAGGCGAATGTTTTATACAAACATTCTATAATCATAAGCACAACTGGACAGTTGTTGTGTTATGAGAACATTTGCCGTGAAATAACGAATGTTCTGGGAAATTTCACAGAACCAATTTTGGTTTGGTGGGACTCCACAGTGCATTCGAAAAGTATTCAGACCCCTTGACTTTTTCCACATTTTGTTACATTACAGCCTTATTCTAAAATGGATTAAATAGTTTTTCCCCCTCGTTAATCTACACACAATACCCCATAATGACAAAGCAAAAACAGGTTTTCAGATTTATTTGCAAAAAAACTGAAATATTATATTTACATAAGTATTCAGACCCTTTACTCAGCACTTTGTTGAAGCACCTTTGGCAGTGATTACAGTCTCGAGTGTTTTTGGATATGACGCTACAAGCTTGGCAGACCTGTATTTGGGGAGTTTCTCCAATTCTTCTCTGCAGATCCTCTCAAGCTCTGTCAGGTTGGATGGGGAGCGTCGCTGCACAGGTATTTTCAGGTCTTTCCAGAGATGTTCGATCGGGTTAAAGTCCGGGCTCTGGCTGGGATACTCAAGGACATTCAGAGGCTTGGCCCGAAGCCACTCCTGCGTTGTCTTGGCTGTGTGCTTAGGGTCGTTGTCCTTTTGGAAGGTGAACCTTCGCCGAAGCAGGTTTTCATCAAGGATCTCTCAGTACTTTGCTCCGTTCATCTTTCCCTCGATCCAGACTAGTCTCCCAGTCCCTGCAGCTGAAAAACATCCCCACAGCATGATGCTGCCACCACCATGCTTCACCGTAGGGATGTTGCCAGGTTTCCTCCAGACATGACGCTTGGCATTCAGGCCAAAGAGTTCAATCTTGGTTTCATCAGACCAGAGAATCTTGTTTCTCATGGTCTGATAGTCCTTTAAGTGCCTTTTGGCAAACTCCAAGCGGGCTGTCATGTGCCTTTTACTGAGGAGTGGCTTCCGTCTGGCCACTCTACCATAAAGGCCTGATTGGTAGAGTGCTGAAGACATGGTTGTCATTCTGGAAGGTACTCCCATCTCCACAGAGGAACTCTGGAGCTCTGTCAGAGTGACCATCGGGTTCTTGGTCACCTCCCTGACCAAGGCCCTTCTCCCACGATTGTGCAGTTTGGCCAGGTGGCCAGCTCTAGGAAGAGTCTTGGTGGTTTCAAACTTCTTCCATTTAAGAATGATGGAGGCCACTGTGTTCTTGGGAACGTTCAATGCTACAGACCACAATCCTGTCTTTGAGCTGTACAGACAATTCCTTCGACCTCATGGCTTGGTTTTTGCTCTGACATGCACTGTCAACTGTGGAGCCTTATATAGACAGGTGTGTGCCTTTCCAAATCATGGCCAATCAATTGAATTTACCACAGGTGGATGAACAGTGGAAACAGGATGCACCTGAGCTCAATTTCGAGTCTCATAGCAAAGGGTCTGAATACTTATGTATTAAGGCTCAGGATAAGACCCAGATGCAGATAGTGCAAAATATAAAAACATGTATTTACTAAAACAGGGGGCAGGCAAACAACAGGTCAAGGGCAGGCAGAGGTCAGTAATCCAGAGCAGAGTCCGAACGGTACAGAAACGGCAGGCAGGCAGGCTCAGGGTCAGGGCAGGCAGAATGGTCAAAACCGGGAAAAACTGGAGAATGGGAAACATACGGGTAAGCTTGACGAGACAAGATGAGGGTGTGACATTATGTAAATAAGATATTTCTGTTTTTATTTTTTATAAATTGGCAAACATTTCTAAAAACCTGTTTTCGCTTTGTCATTATGGGGTATTGTGTGTAGATTGATGAAGATTTGTATTTATTTCATCCATTTTAGAATAAGGCTGTAACGGTAACAAAATGTGAAAAAAGTCAAGGGGTCTGAATACTTTCCAAATGCACTGTATATGTGTTATATAAAGCTGCTCGCTAGCACACCACATGTTATCTCTTTCATTTCTCCTTTCTTCTTCTACACCTTCTTGACTAGCCTAGATCTTCCCTTATGCAGTCACACACACACACATGCACACACATACACACACACAAACACACACTCTCAGACACACTCTGCAGGTTTGAAGTCTACTGCATTATGTAAAGGACTTTCAAATAAAGTTACACCATGTATAAAATCAGAGGGGAACTTTGAGTTCTCTGCTCTGCTCTTTGATAGTGATTGAGGTGAGAGGGGCTGCCATATCTTGGCTTGTAGAATCATTTCTATTTGTCACTAGTGTTAGGTGTACACTCTATTTCAATAGTGATGTTATACACAATGTGTAATACCAACCCACCAGTTTAATTGAATGGGATTCAAGTATACCTTTAGCAAGGTAGTCTGTCTCACACAGAGAGGCAAGGCCAACTACTAGAACTAGAGCGCTAGAGGAATCACTATTCATCTGAAGAGGAGGAGACAAGCCAGCCAGTGGAATGAAATACAAACAGGGAGGCTCAGTCAGTGATCTGAGTACCTCTCTATGGTACTTGGCTTTTTCCGTGCCTATGCACATTTTAGTGGTGCATGGGCGGAACAACTCGCTTGTCAAATTGGGATGCATTTAATTACCTAACCAATCCATCATGTTTTTGGTCGGCCTCCTGTCTCCTCCCACCTGTACCCCGGCGGTAACTCTTCCACATTTATTCAGCCCGACGTCCCTCCGACTCCCTCCATAATCCCACTTTTCATTAGACTGGCAACTAATGGAGGCTGTATCCTGCGTCATTACAT